GGGCCAGCGTTTAGCCGCGCCCCCGTCTCTGTAAGAGCCGTAGCAGGACCGAAAAATTCCCTCTGAGATCCATGAGAAATCCTTCTGGAATGGTTTTGTCCATCGCGTTACTGGGACGATGGTCTGGCTGGAGGTGTAGGTACAAAGAGGTCTCGCCCGGTAATATTATGTGGCTATTAACATTCATGCACATCAGCGGGTGGGTCTAATGGAGTGAATTAGATTCCCAATGACACAGATAACAAAGATCGCCAGTGACGTAACAAACCCAACCATCAACACCCGCCACTGGCCGCATCCAGTCTTCTCGTAACGGTGAATAAGCCCTGATATTCCATCCCCCAGAACGACGCCGAAGATCACCCCTTCTCCAGCGAACAATAAGAGGCATTATAACCCAGCAAGTAGATCTCGGTTACAGCTGTTGACCACTAGGAGATTCAATTCGCCTTACAGACAGGTTAAATGTGTGTCCCCATGTGGGTAAGGAGAGATAAGGACCGCTGACGGCGAGCATAATAGTTTTCACACCCGGAGCTCAGCGCGAGACGCCGCCGCCCTGGACCCCCAGCGTCGCCTGGGCTGCCACACGTCGCCACCCCAGCCAACTGCTTCGCCGCTCCCTCACTTGAGGTCAGACATATAATAATTCATTTTAATACATCATTCGGTCACAGGAGATAACATATTTAAAACCAGTTCTAAGGAAGAGACGCCTCTGAAGTTCACCTCAGGTTTAAGGCTTTTCAGAATTAGCTATGATTGTTGCTTTCGTGCTGACCTGCCGGACGAAGAACTATTTATAAAGAGTATTATAAATTAAATATAAAAAATATTAAAGAAAACATGCAAAGGCGCGATAGGTTTAGATGAATTTATGTTAATAGATGAAATTGAAGCAGTGAGGTGATGAGGACATTGTAGTGTCAGAAGAGACTTGGTGTGAATCATAAGCTAATACTGAGTAAGTTTACTGAACCCAAGAGAAAGGTGAAAATTAAGACTTATATCTGCTGGCAGTGACGTCACCATGTCTTACCTTCACTACCTTGATTCATCCTATTTATTCCTAAAACAATCCAAGAATCACCTGAAGATTAACCCCCAGTTTCTTTCACCTTAAGATTAAAGGCCCTAACCTAACCTAACACTAGCCTAACCTAACCTAACCTAACCTAACACTAGCCTAACCTAACCTAACCTAACCTAACACTAGCCTAACCTAACCCCCAGGTATTGTTAAGGTGTTTAATCATCAGGTGCATTGAAACTTGAGGTTAATCTTCATATAATCCGATTTCACAGCACACTTGTCTTGATCCCTCGAGCGTTCAGGTTGTCTATTGTAAATCCGCATAAAATCTACACACATATTAAATCATTCTTATGGTTTATATCAGGGTCACATAGTCAAGTTCCTCCATAGATCCAAATTGTCAACATCTTGTCTTCCTGGATTAATAGTCGAATTATTTTTCTCAGTAACCCTCTAAAAATATTCCTTGTGTTTAATAAATACATTTTACATTTAGTGTATTATTAGTTTTCAACATCTTGATCATTTAGACTGAGATGGTCACTTTTGCCACCAAGTCCTTCCTGAGACATAATATCTGGCATCTACTTGAGGGTCATATACTGTGGTGTAGATTAATATAACATTTTTCTCTTCTATTTTTAATTTCTTTCTATTCATATTTTTCGCCCCCTGTGCCCCGTTGTGGGTCGTTCGACCTGTGCCCTGGTGGGCAACTCCCGTACCCAATCACATTTTCTCATCACAACTGTCAGTGTGTGTCTATCTTAACAGTTGGGAAAGAGAAGGCGGTCGAGTACAGTGCCGGCTACATTGTCGATGGTTTATTATTCAGTACTCAATATGCTGTATCCTCACTTCCCCTAACAGGCCTTTAAGACGTTCAGGGCCATGAGACTCCCTTTCACAGTGTCTTCCCGTATGTTGCCATAGTGATTGGTATAGTCTCCTGCCAACATCAACATCACTTTGTGCAGTTCTGTAATAACAACCACTTTCACTCGAAGAAAGATTGCACACCTGGCTTCAAATGCAATTTATATGCGGGATCCAACAATCCTCAGGTAAACACAGAGCACCAGTGTTCCTAGGTAGAGGTAGGAAAGAAGGTTCAAAGCTTCGTACTTTAACATTTCCACAAACTGGTCTCGGTGTTAAGGTGGATGCAATTCCCGCCTCTATATTTTATTTTATCGTTGCTTAAGTGAGTGGCAAGTTAGATACGTCCTCACATCTCCAGTTAGTTAGGAGGCGAATATTAACCTACGAGCCTTAGAGAACCCGGGCGCATAAAGCTCGTAAATCAGCAATAGGTAGTAGGTGGTCTGGTATCATTTAATAGTGATCCCGGGTGGAGGTGCAGGGCCCTGGGTTGCTGCTGCTGCTGCTCACAATATTCTAAAACGTTTCGGCCTCTTGCTTGAAAAAGAGTCATAATAATTCCTCTATATAAATTCCTCCTACTCTCATTCTTTTTGTATATTTTCGTTACAAATCTCTTCATTCATCTCCTCGTGAACATAGATAGATACGAGAAAGTATGAGACAAAGAATGGCAGGATTTTTAGAGGCATAAAAAATTGCATAAAAACACGACTAACTCCCAGCGAACATTCAGTAAACCCAGATTTCAGATAAATTAATAGATAAATAAATAAAATGAGAAAAGAAAAACAGTCCTTTTTTTTTTTTCTTTTTTTCGAACCATGAGAGAAATTAAAAAAAATAATAAGAAACATAAGGGAATTAATAGGTAAATAAAATAACTGCATTTTGTTCTATTACTTTATATGACCAAGTCTAGTCGATCAGTTTTACATTACATAGTGTTATATTGTGCAGACTACAGTAGTTAGGATTATCTAATGATTTAATGGTTAACATCCGTATGCCTGGATGTTACCCATTCAGTTATCTTACAAGTGATCGGTGTGTAGGATATGACAGGAGATGACTCGTTCATCGCGTGTTAAAATTTCCCTATGGTATGCGACCTAACAGACACCATGTACAATGTGAGTGACAGTGCGACAGTAATGTATTAATATCATGAATAATGTGGTATAGTGACTACGATAACTTACTGCACTGATATAATAAGTGTTATATTAGTACAGTACTAATAATGAGGTACATTGTTAATGATTTTACCTAGTTTACCTCATGGCACCCTGCCGAGGGAAGGAGGCCAGGGGCCTGTGTAAGATCCATTGTTCTCTACAGTCTTGTCAGGGGCTATTTTGAAGCCAAGAACTGTTATCGCTTCTACAGTTTCAGCTGGTAGACTGTTCCATAGGTCTACCAGCCTCTGTTTGAAAAAGAATTTCTTTATGCTGTATTTGTCAGGTATGACATCTTGGCGAGCTTGAAGTTGTGTTCTCTCGTGTTGGTAGTACGTGACATAATGAGAAATTTGCCCGGGTTTACGTGTTCCATTACTATCAAGATATTGAATGTCTCAATGAGATCTGCCCAATTGTGTTGTGAGGTCCTAAGGACCTCAGTGTACCTGGATAATCGCTCTGCGTTGCACCTTTTTAGGGGTGTTAGGTGAGGATTGAATCTTGTCAAGGAATTCTTCTCTCTCACCTCGTGTGGTAAGATTCACCCAGTCTATCGTTTTCTTGTTAAAATCTCCCATGATGAGAGCTTGTGCTGTGAATGCTATCTGGATGACTTTACGAAGATCTGCCACTTCTCCCATTGATGCAGGGTATATCAGTCCTCATCTGCTGTTAACTTACTATTATTTTGTGCTATCAAATCACCAAATTGATTCAGACGATCCCAATTATTTTAACTCGTCATCGCTGATTACTGTCAGGTGTTCCTTGACATACAGTAGTACACCACCACCTCTTGTCTTAATGGAGGCTGATATCCAGGTAAATAAAATCTATCCGGCGATACATGTCCATTGCTGATCCCAATGATATGTCTAGTTGTCCTGTGTCATTCAAACATAAACGAGACAACATCCAAACACCTAAGAAAAAAATATTTAATATCAACACAACATTAAACAATAATGTGAAAATAAAAGCCGTTCAGGTGACTTGCAAATTTATTACCAGTATTGGTCGAATTTTCTCAAGGGTTTATTTGTCGAATTTGGTGTTCTTCAGCTTAAGGCAGTGCCAGAGTCTCATTCATAATTTTATCGATACACTCACACTACACCTTCTTTCATTTGCAATTGAACATTTGACCACTTGCCTTTAACAATCAAGATTTTGGAATGACAAATTTCTATTTGCTTTCAACTATTTTCCGAATCCATTCAACAATCAGTTATTTTGATTTGACAATTTACAAAACCTTTCAACAGCCACATATCTCCGATTGCTTTCAACAGTCTACCAAACTTTTCAACAATGCGACTGAAACAATCATCATTGAAAAGAATTTATTCAATAATCTTTAAAATCAGTAACAGCCATGAATATTTAATTTTTGAGTATACTTACACAAACATCAACAACACAATGAATTCTGGTATAAACATATGTAATTATGTAATGTCTTTAGTCTTTAGTATGTAGTAGCTACATAAAACATACGATTGCTTAAAAAGAAACAAAGAAAAAAGGGCCTTATACTAATAGCTAAATACATTGGTGTCATGATACTTCCACGAAGCAATTCACAGTAAAGGCCTCGTACACCTTGGTGGGTTGTTTCTGCCTGGCTGTAAGGTAGGGATGGAGGTAGGTGAGGGTGGGAGGGGTAGTGGGATTGGGGAGAGGAGTGTCATATCAGCATCCCGTTGACTTGCCTTCCTCCTCTGCCTCACGAATAGTAACCTGTCAGGTAAAAAAGAACCCATGAGTGTATAGAAGGTTTTTGTTGTGAATTGTTTCAAGTGGAACAAACGGTAAGGCAGTAGGTTATACTCTATTACTGTAGACCTACTGTATATCAATTGAAGATGTTTCGGCGCTCAATACATTGAACCAAGTAGGTGTTGACATGGTTATAGTACTGCGACACAACATGTTCCGTGACACTAGGCAGTGCAAATTCCATGCCAACTTGCAAAATGTTCTCCCTCAGTGCATTGAGAGTCACTCCTTCTTGCCTGGCGTGGGCCGCGTTGCACCGTGGAGCTTCACGGTGGAGGTACTGCTTCAGGTATGATTTAAACACAGAGAAACAGTTTTCTATGTGGTTCAAGCAAGGAGAGTATGGAGGGAGAAATTTAAAATTCAGCTCGGGATAGACTGCTGCGATACCGTTGTGAATTGGAGCGTTGTCTAGAACAAGTATGGATCTTGCGTCTCCGATTATAATCGGATTTCATCGCATCACTTGCAGCAATAATTATTGCTGCAAGTGATGCGATGAAATCACTGAATACTTCCTTCGTCACTGAACCATAGTGAATTTCGTGATAGAGTATTCCACAGTGTTCAGCTATCGCAGCAATCACTGTCGTGTTTCTGCCACGCTGTCCACCAACGGCGCGATGCACACGCTCCCCGCGTCTTGCCCTGCCGTACGTCCTCTTGGTCCACAGATTGAACCCTGGAAATGAAACATCAGTGTATGTAGTCATACTGTAATGTAATTAAACATTAACACAAGGAAAGTTGTACGATGCATCAAACTGAGATCAATATTAAGTACTCACTCGTTACATACAGTTTACTTAAGTAATTATGTAGTACATACTACAGATAGTTGAAAAGTGGTTACATAATTACATACCTGTCTCATCAATGTATACTAGTTGCTGCTGTAGACCCGTCGCCAGCATCCACGTAGCGTACGCGTGTCTCGCCTCCTTTACTGCGGGAGAATTTCTTTCTGCTGGGAAGTCACGGGACATTTTCAGTGATATCAGCTCCCCCTCCAAATAACGCGAAAGCGTTACCTCACTGAAATGTGGTTTTGTAGGAAATATATCCATGACCTCCTCCTTTATCTCTCTCAAGGTCATCATAGGGTTTGCTTCAAGCAGCATCACTATTAGATCCAGAGTTTCATTGTCGATGATCTTGTGTCTGCCTCCTGCGTGAGCCGCTTCAACCCTGTTTTCGCGTTGGTATACTCGCACAATGGAGCATGCCGTGGTGCGCTGAACTCCAAGGGCTGCTGCAACTACGAGGAAATCTTGTTCGGCTCTGTAGGCCTCGATAATGCGCTCGCGATCTGTAGCACTTGTTATTCGGTGCCTCCGTGGCATGCTGGAGGGGCTCGGCGACGAACTGTATACTGGAGAAGCTGCACACACTCGTAATGAAAATACTGAGTGTGTAGCACACCATCTCGACTCAGTGATTCGTTACTTGCTTCAAAAGTTCGAATTAGATCAACTAGTCTTTCGATCTACGAAAAACACCAAAACATAAACTTTTTGCATAGTTATGATGTTTTAAAGATTGTTACTTAGTTTTGTAAAATGTTGAAAGTATTAGTGAATTGTCAATGAAGAATGAGACGATTGTTGAAAGCAAGTAAACATTGTCACGTGTTGAACGACTGTTGAAAAGTTTTGGATGATTGTTGAACGGAAAGTAAAGATTGTTATTAATCAAGTGTAAGAATGTTGATTCCATTCGAAGATGTTGAAACCAAAAGTAACATTGTTCAATTGCAATTGAAAAAAGGTGTATATATTTTTTTACCTTTATCCTCTTCACCACTGATCGGCTCGTTAGCCGCTTGGGCGGTAGATCACATCTCTCTTACGAACTGTTGGCAAGTACTGGGCATGCACTGGCTCCTGAATATATCGGAACCTGCTCCAGTATTAGTCAAGTTTGGACTTGAATGAGCTCACACTATGTGGCATTACAACGCTCTCTGGCAGATTATTCCAAGAGTTGAAAATTCTCACTCCGAAAAAGTTTGCCCTCACAGTTTTCTGGACTTCTGGCTTCTTCAACACTTGAGCTGTGACCCCTAAGATGTTTATACACCTCGATTAGGTCGCCACTCGCCCGTATGTAGTATAAGCTAGATAATTGCAGGCGTTTTAATCTCTCGAGGTAACTGAGGTTCCGTAGAGCAGGCACCAGTCTGGTGGCCCACCTTTGGACATTTTCAATCAATTGATAGTCTTTATCATACCTTGGGGACCAGACGGGGTGACAGTACTCCAAACAGGGAAGCACCTCACTCTTGAAGATCGTGACCAGGGACGCCGTCTATATATCTGAACGACCTTCTTATAAGACCTAATAATTTAGTTGCCTGATTCACCTTATTCTCACAATGGCCCGAGAACTTAAGTTCGTTGTTGACATGCACACCCAGGTCCTTTTTCACATTCGTTCTCAATTAATGCAGTCCCTTCGTCCTGTTGGGACATGTGATACGCCTCCTTACTGTTGGTGCGACCTAGGCGCATCGTTTTGCACTTCGTGACATTGAACCTTAGCAGCCATTTCTTCGACCATTTTTGGAGCTCATAGAGATCTTTCTGTAGCTCTTCAGTCTGTTTGGTTCTTAATTTCCCTAAATAACTTGGCATCATCCGCAAACATTTGTATGGAGTATTGCATAGCTTCTGGCATATCTTTTATAAAGCAAACAAACAACGCGCCCAATACACTGCCCTGTGGTAACCCGCTTGTCACAGTTACACATGATGATCTCGTACCATTTATCACCACACACTGTTTGCGGTCAAGCTGAGAGTCTCCGATCCACGCTAGGACACTTCCCCGAATCCTGTACCTTTCCAATTTAATTCTCAACCTTTCATGGGGTAAGCTGTCGAAAGCCTTGGCAAAATCTAGGTATACAGTATATTGTCGATATTATCACCCTGTTCCAGAATTTGGGACATACCTTGAATAATTGTATTAAACAGGAGTATCCCGACATAAAACCATATTGGCAATCCTTTACAAGGTTGGTTCGTAGATATTCCATCATGGAATTTCTTATAATATTCTCTAGTACTTTACACACACTGCTGGTCAGGCTCACTGGTCTATAATTATTCGTGGAGTGACTCACATAAGCCATTTTCCAGTCATTGGGGACCTTTTGCTCCTGCAGGCATTTGCAGAACAGGATCTTAAGGGGCTCAGCAAGCTCGTTACACAGTTCTCTTAACACTCTGGGGTGTACCATATCTGGGCCGGGACTCTTGTGAATCTTTAGCTTTGGCAGTTTATTCTTTATCACCTCATCCGAGAACACACTGTGGGTCGGTGCTGTGTCAAACCGTCTTTCCTCAAACGCAGGAAGATTGTTCGCATCGTCTCTTGTGACCACCGATGAAAAGAATTTGTTCAACGCCTCCGCCATATCCTGGTTAGAATCTGCATAAGTGCCATCTTCAAGCCTCAGGTCCGATATGTCTTCTCGCGTTTATAATTTCGAATTTGCTGAACGGTAAAAGGCTTTTGAGTTTGACTTGACCTCACTTGCAATCTGCCTCTGGAACTCTTTTCCAGCCCTTCCACACTCTGACTTTGCTTGGTTCCTGGATCTGGCATACATCCTCCTGTCCTGCTCATCATTTGTCCTAACCCACGTCTCGAGATCCTGAGTTTTTCTTTCTGACTTTGTCGGCCGCCGCATGGTTCATGTTTTGCGGTCTCCTTGTATTCCTGGGGGCACTGGGTTTGGTCTTGGGTATATATTTATCGATCGAAAGGTTAACTTTAATGGCTATGATATTCAGCGTAGTGTCTGCGTTTTTATTCCTGAGTAAGTCAGGCCAGTGTTTACTCCTCATCTCCTCCCTCATCCCGTCGTAATTACCCTTGTAATATTTTAACCTTGGCCTGGTTTTGTCATGAACTAAATAATAGTTAAATCTGAAGGACAACGTTACGCGGTGACTGGTGCCAACTGGGGCTAGGTGTTCAGGATTTGCCACCATACCCTCCTCTTTAGTTATGATGAGGTCTAGCTGTTTGGGTGTTTGCTCCCCTCTGTAGTGAGTCGGATCTTTAACATGTTGGAATAGAAAATTGTCTCTCAGAGTTTCTACAAAAAGAGTGGCTGGATTATTTAGGGCGTTTGGCGTGCATTCATTTCTCCAGTCGATGTCGCCATAATTAGAGTCCCTCATGACAAGGAGGTGGCTAGGGCTTAGCGTAGTTACATTGTTAATTAAGGCTGTAAGTTCCTCTGGTTTAATACGCTACAATTTGGGGATCTGGAGATACATCCCACAATGAGTAAGTCTCTCCACTTCAGTTTAATTTTACACCACTTTGATTCTTCGAAAACATCCTCTACCGCTCCCTCACCTGACTGGCACTAAGGTCTTGCCTAGCATAGATAACCACACCCCTCTTGCAAGTTTCTTGGGAAAGGTTCGTAATTGAGTCATATCCATCTATATTGAGCTCACATTCTTCAGGGTCGATTCTCCTGTTTTTGTACAACAGTTCTACAACACCTACTATTATATATTGAACTGATGTAACTTCAGTAGTGTTTCAAACTCCTGTCTCTTGCCAAGGAACGTGTCAATATTAGTGTACATGACTTTCAAGTCGGAAATTGTTCTTAGTAATGTCTCTGATCATGGTAGTGACTCCGGCCCCCAACTGCCTCGTTTACTGTATCCCTTGTATTTTGTGTGGTGTGGTCATAGATGACATTGTTTACATGGCGCTCGCCTCCTCCTGGGTTGGAGGTAAAGCGGATGGGGGTGTCCCGCAGTCCCCATGCAGGCTCTGTACTGATACACTTGCCTCCACTACCTTCCCCTGTACTGTATATAGACCATGTAGTCCGTCCCCGTTCCTCATCGACTCCTCCCTCTTCTGCTTCACGGACTCCAGGAGTTTTTTTGTGCTGGTCCCTCTGTATTACCGTGCGATCACTAGTGTGATCCTGAAGGGGCGGGGCTTGTCCTCTTGCCTTTGTCCTAGCCTCCCCACGTCCTGGGTGGGAGCTGATAATTTCAGAGCCTCATCACAAATATTCTGAAATTTTAACTTGTCGAGTGTTTTCCTAGTTTCAGCTTCCTCTGACTAGCTCTCAGGGACTCCAAACACTGCTATGTTATTCCTGCACTCTGAGCGTTCTCGTTTTTCCTCCTCTCCCATATCAGTAGGTCTACTAGTTATCAACTCTTCAACACACTTCTGCAGAGTTTTTAGCCGCCAGAGGACCGGTTCAGATCCTGCATTACTCTCCCTCACCTTCTGTGACCCTACAGCAACCTGAGCATAACTCCACTTAGCTACTTCCTCTGTTCGGTCAGCTACTTCCCCTGCCTTAGTGAGGATCTCTCCCAACCTGCTCCAGCTTGGCAACCAACACGGATTTAGCTTCCTCTATTTTTGTCTCTAATTATCGCTTTCCACTGTGATCTGCAATCGCCTCGTTTACTTTGATTTTGAAGTTCGGGCAATACCAGCAACAGCGAATCATGCCTTACCACATTCAGCACCGTCCTAAATGCTGTAGGGCCCAGGTAAAAGACAGCTACCAAACAGGGAGGTACCACCGCCTGGAAAGATATTGGAAGCATAATGTGTTGTCTAATGGTAGACCCTGCTGCCATATGGCATCACGAAAATTGTGACCAAGTCCCAGGTTGCTGATCTGACTTTCTGCCTCATTTACACACTATTGCAGGGTCTCAATTGTTTCTCTTACTATTGACAACACAACATACATATATTGTTTCTAACTCTTGATCTTGTTTTTTTTCATTTTGTATGTCTATTATTATTATTATTATTATTATTATTATTATTATTATTATTATTGTTATTGTTATTATTATTATTATTATTATTATTATTATTATTATTATTATTATTATTATTATTATTATTATTACATTTTCGCCCCCCAGGCCCCGATGTAGGTCAGTGACCTGTGCCCGGGTGGGCTAACCCCAGTAAAATATAAATTAGTAAATAAAAAAAAAAAAAAAAAAATGCATGTCAACAAACTTGCTGGTGATGCTGGGATCTTAGCCCCTGATTCCCTACGCCTCTTCATGTCTTGTCACCAACTTTCCTTTTCCTTTTACGTACTTATACCTGTAAGTACATAATTTTTAATTTAATTTTTAATTTTGCCACTTATAGCGGCTAGTTTATTCTGCACCTTATACTCATCCTGTGAGCGGTGGCGCAAAAGGATTACAGAGTAAGGTTTACAAAGGATCAGAATAATTAACCCCAGTGGTCAGGCTATTATTGCATTGAATGTTACACAATATTTCAAATAAATTCTTTGTTTAGTTCTGTACAAAAAGGGTAACTTATTTGCAACTGCGTGAGTACAGGA